ATCACACTAAGCTATGGTTGCAGTGACCGCACGTTTAACACCCAAACCTGCTGCCTGTGCACTCTGATTCACAACCGCTTCTTGTGCTCTTCCAGGTTCATTTCTATTTAACCAATCGCTCATTGACTGAATGAATTTCATTTTATATATTTTTAAAAAATGTTCTTAATCCGACTTCCGACTTCCCATGGATGCTCTTAGCCTTTTAAAAACTGTGGGAGATCTTATTCAGAGAGCTCCCAGATTGTCTGCAGTTTGGCCCATCAATAGCTACCTGCTTCCCGTATTAATAAAATTCACCACATGGGCTCAATTCTTTATTTGTAAAAAAGAAAAGAAAAGGTGCCAGTACTCATAGATAAGGTTGCACAGATTTCCATGAATCCCCCCCCTCCCTCAGGACTTGGGAGAGCTCCCCCCCCAAAGGTGCCAGGACTCAGGAGCAGAGAGTACCATCACAAAAACACAGACCCGTTTGGGTTAGGATTTTAGGTGGAATTCAAGCAAACTGATTTTTTTTGCCGGATTATGGTAAAAATTAAAATTACCATCACTTTTGGAGATTCGTATTCATAGTTGTAATCAGCAATGAGTAAGATTTCGCTCCTCTCCCGGTCCATGTAGAGAATAAATGGTACCAATAAAAATAAAGCAGCCTGTATTTTTGTTACTGATTACAGTGCTCTAAAACTGGGATTTAGCAGGGATTATTTCCCCCTTCTTCATAACGTATTATATCAAGGAAAACAACACATAAGGTTCGACAGAATCACACAATCTCATATGCTACTGCTATCTAAACAGAACCCAATAAATCTATTAAATAGAGGTTTCTCTTTTTTAATTACATGCCAGTTTGGCCATAAAATTGGTAGCCCGGATTTTTTTTAATACCAGACTATTACTGACAACTTCATTTTGGACATCCACCCAGCTTCTACACATACCTTTGTGACCATCAGTAATCAAGGTCAATGCCAGTTTTAAAAAGAAAACTTCAGAACTATTATTATTTTTTAGAAAATGTATATGGGCATCTCTCTAGAGACCTGCTCAAGGCAAGCGAAGCCGTTTCAAGAAGTGCTTCTTTGGATAAGACTGAGGTTTACATTTTAAATGCAGGAACCACAATCTGCCCGGGAGACTCCAAAGCTGGCCGAGCTTAGCCAGACAGATATTTGGCACATAGTGCCTGTTACATAGACAGCAACACCCAGCTCTCCCCTTTGAGAGTCAGTTTGGTGTAGTGGCTTGGTGTAGTGCGCGGACTCTAATCTGGGAGAACCGGGTTTGATTCCCCACTCCTCCACTTGCACCTGCTGATGTGACCTTGGGTCAGTCACAAGCTCTGGCACAGCTGTCCTTGAAAAAGAGCAGTTTCTGTCAAGAGCTCTCTCAGCCCCGCCCACGTCACAGGGGGTCTGTTGTGGGGAGGGGAAGGGAAAGGAGTTTGTAAGCCGCTCTGAGACAGGGTTGCCAGGTCTGGGTTAGAAAATACCTGGAGACTTTGGGGATGGAGCCAGGAGAGGGCAGGGTTTGAGGAGGGCAGGGGCCTCAGCGTGGTACAGTGCCACAGAGTCCACCCTTCAAAGCAGCCATTTTCTCCAGGGGAGCTGATCTCTGTCAGCTGGAGATCAGTTGTAAAAGCGGGAAATCCCCAGGCCCCACCTGGAGGCTGGCAACCCTAGGCGGGGTATAAATCCAATCTCTTCTTCTTCTTCTTTTCTCATCCTGTTGTATGTGTGATTTTGCCGTCAAGTCACAGCTGACTTATGGCTACCCTGTTGGGTTTTCAAGGCAAGAGATGTGCAGAGGCGGTTTGCTATTGTCTGCCTCTGCACAGCAATGCCTGGTGTTCATTCCTTGGTGGTCTCCCATCCAAGTACTCGCTAAGTCCGGCCCTGCTTAGCTTCCAAGATCTGACCAGATCAGGCTAGCCTGGACTATCCAAGTCAGGGCCTTCTCATCCTCTCTACCCCCAAACAATGAACAACCGGCGATTTATTCTTAAGCACTCTTTGAATGCTCCAGACTAGTCACTGTGCAAGTCCCTTAGCCATCCGAGTCCAGTATGTGTGTAACTAGAAATTCTGTCCTTCCAGGATTCATAGGCACCTGTACAGTGCTTAATTTAAGCTTCCTGAGTGTGGGAAAGGCCAAACTTCTGAGAATGTGCTTCACCCAAGTTCTGTTTCTCGTCGTTGGTGTGACTCGTTCTTGGCAAAGCCATGGATGCCTTCCGTCAACGAGGGTAAGTGGTCAGCCTCTGTCCGGTCCATTTTTAACTTTCTCCTCTTAAAGGCAAAAATCTGACAGTCCGAGTAGACAATGCTGACCATGGTGGACCAAGGGTCTGATTCAGTCCAGGGCAGATTCATGTGTTCTCCTTCGGATCAGCCTCTGAAGGACAGGCATGGACTAGTCGGGGCCACTCTTAGGATCCTAGAATCACAGAGCTGGAAGGGGCCACACAGGGGCCATCTAGTCCAACCCCCTGCTCAAGGCAGGATCAGCCTAGAGCAGTGATGGCGAACCTTTTAGAGACCGAGTGCCCAAACTGCGACCCAAAACCCACTTATTTATCGCAAAGTGCCAACACGGCAATTTAACCTGAATACTGAGGTTGTACTTTAGAAAAAAACAACTCATACATTAACTTAAGATGATCCAGACAAAGTAAGGAAAGCAATCCCAAATACTTAGAATTATTTGGCAGAGAATTCGACACTTTAATGATGGTCTGGGCCTGGCTGGGGCGATGGCACGCGTGCCCACAGAGAGGGCTCTGAGTGCCACCTCTGGCACCCGTGCCATAGGTTTGCCACCACTGGCCTAGAGCATCCCTGACAAGCATTTGTCCGGCCGCTGCTTAAATACTGCCAGGGAGGGGGAGCTCACCACCGCCCCAGGCAGCTGATTCCAGTGTCGCACAACCATTACCGTAAAAGGGTTTTCCCTAATATCCAGCTGGTACCTTCTTGCCCTCAATTTAAACCCATTCTTGCGAGTCCTGTCCTATGCTGCCAACAAGAAAAAGCTCCCTGCCCTCCTCTAAGTGACAGCCCTTCAAATACTTCAAGAGAGCAATCATGTCCCCCCTCAACCTCCCCTTATCCAGACTGAACATTCCCAAGTCCCTCAGCTTTTCCTCATGGGGCCTGCTCTATCAGTGCTTCCCTGCTTCTGTTCATCCCCCCCCCTAAAAACTGTCCAGTTTGCACTTGCCCTTGATGCAGCAGACTGCCTGTATCATGTGGCTGCACATGCTTCTGAAAAACATCCATTACCTGGATTAGCCCCGGGAAACCCAATATTTCCTCATCAACCCACAGCACGTGACTCTCAGACTTTTACAGCAGCCAGTTTCAGGACTTTGGAGTCAGGGTTCTGTATATCCTTCACAGACTTTGGAAGCGATTATGAACTAGCCACAGCTAGCCATAAACTGCTCAACAGCCTTGGACCAAGTGTCCCTTCCATGAAAATACCCCTGTAGCCACCCCTAGACAGCATATCCAGCCTGTAGTTCTAGAAGACAACTCCCCACCCTCCAGGATTCTAGAACAATCCCTGGAGAAGTGATTCTACGCAGATTCTTACAACAGTTCTTCCTGACCACGATGGGCTTCCAGTGAGAAGTGAAAGAAGAATGCCTCTGGCTAGGGCTTTTAAAAATTTCATAAGTTTACCCACTATCTCTCCACGAGACAGCAAACTGCAAGCAGTTGTCATGGCTTCCTCATTTCCTTCCCCATTCCCTTCTTTACAAGAAGAAGACTATAATTGACTATTTCATAGCAGAGTCTCTACCAAGGGTTGGGTAAAACCAACACATCCCAAGACAAATTTGCCCTGCAGACTTTTCTTTTTTTAGCGGCGGCACAGGATTGCACCAAACTGCTGGTCACTTTTTACTTTTAGCAGGGACAAGAGGGATGGTATATGATCAAAGCAGTACAGATCAAGTTAAACCACATTCATCTTTTCCACTTTGGAACAGAGAAAGAGTCTATAGAACAGCAGAGAATTTTTTTAAAAAACCCCATCCTCTACTTCCCTTAATGACAGAGTAATAAATATGACGAGGAAAGAACCAAAGGCAAAGATTTTCAGAGGCCAGCCTGATTTTTCTCCGTCCCCTTGTTCCGTATCTAGCTATGCAGCACCTGGTTTGACTTCCTTACACGAGTCATTTTGAGAGTGGGGAGTAACAGTCAGAACATGGTGCAGGGATTAGTCTGCAGAAGGAGGATCAGGAAGACATGGGTTCAAATTCACAATCAGTCCTGAAGCCCCCTGAGAGGCCAGTGGCCATTTTCTCTTTCAGCCCCTTGAGCTTTATAGGAGAAGGCTCCCTGGGTCACATTATTTCCTGTATGGTGCAGGGGGGGGGTTGGACTAGATGACCCTGGAGGTTCCCTCCGACTCTATGATTCTACATGCTTGCAAAGCCAAAAAAAAGGACTAAAGGTCAAGATAAACACGCGACTACTCAGCTCCATCAGCAAGACCCAGGTTCAAATCCCCCTCACAGGTTGAGAAACAAAACAAAACAAAATCACAAGATGACCTTGAGCTGGTACTTTCAGCCTCGCCCACCTCAAAGGGGACCGTGAGTATAAAACAGCGGAGGGAATAAGGAAGCTACACACGCCACCCTGAGCTGCTTATAAGAAAAGAGATAAAAATAAAGGGGGGGGGGGCGTGTGGACTGCTGCGTCAGACACCAGCGCTGTAATCGCACCTTTTTGTTTTTTTAAGGGAGGGGTGTCTGCTTTTCAGCTAGTGGGCTTCAGTTACAGCCGCCAACGGGGTGGGAGGTGAATCCTTAGCGGGTCCTGCAAACCCAAGATAGGAAAGTGCAAGCAGGAGGGGCAAGGCCGGAGGAAGCTCTTCGTAGCCACCGAAGGTCGTGGAGACCCCAGAGACGACCTTTCCTTTTCCCTCTCCCAACAACGGGGCGACCTGACTCCCCTTCTCCGCCGGCGCCCACTCCTCACCTGGACCGGGAAACCGAAGGGACCGCGCGAGCCTCCTCCGCAAGGGGACCGGCGAGCTCAGCTGATCGCCCAACGCGGCGGGCCACTGAGCATGCGCGTAGACTGCAGGGTCTCCCGTTGACTAAGTGCGCATGCGCCGGGAGAAGTGACGGCCGCTCACATCCGTTTGCATTTTTCAGGACTTTCTTCAGAGCTCTGACTGACTGACTGACTGACGTGACACCATTTTATATATACACACACATACACACCATTCGTATTTGATATTATATAATCCCTGTGCAGCATTTAGGTATTCATATACACATTTATATATTTGTTTGCACGTTTAAAAATACAGTTATTGACCCGCCTCAAGTTGAGCTTCCCGGCCGGGCCCCCTTCGATCGTCCCGCCCAATGGGACGCCGAGAGTGGGGTCACGTGGCGCGATTCCGCAGTGGGCGTGGCGCAGGCGGGGAGGCGGGTTCGGGAAGGGGCTTCTGGGAAAACGGGCCGCCGGGGAGGAGGAGGAGGAAGGCCGCGCCTGGCGTAAAGCGGTACGGCAGAATGGCGCCGCTCCTGCCGCGCGTGCGTCGGGTGAAAGGTTGAGCGTCAGGAGGGGGCGGGGCCTGCTCACGCACGCTGGCGCGGTTGGTCGGAGCGGCCTGAGGCCCATGTGGAGCGGGAGCGGCAGTAGCAGTTGAACCGCCGCCGGATCCGGATCGCGGGGCTCTGGGCAGCCATGAAGGGGTGAGTGCGGGACCGGCGCCGGCACCCCCCCGGGTCCCCTTTCTCCTCCCCGAGGCACCCGGTCTCCGTCTCGGCAGCCAGCGGGCGGCGGCCCAGTCCTCCCTCAGGGCCCCCGCTTCGTGCGGCGGGGGCCGGTCTTTGTTTCCCGGGGGCGCCGCTCGGCCCGAGCCTCTCCCTTCGCCCGGCTCCGTTTGTCGCCCGAGGGAACCGGCTCGGGGTCCGTCTTCTCCTGGGGAAGTCCGTTTTGTTGCCACGGGGTAATGCTGGAGCGCGCGCGCCCATTCACACGTGCATTCCTTAACACCCCCCCCACGCGCACGCGCACACACCCCGGGCGTCTTTCAGGGTTCTTTTCCATACCGCTCCCCCAGCCCCGCTTGCCTCTACCCAAGAGCTACCCGGGCTTCTGAGGTTAGGGCGTGCACTTGCGAAGGTGTTTTCATCGACCCGCCTGTGCTTTTTCCTCCGTGGTAACGCGGCGGGGGTGGGGTGGGGGTGAAGAGTGGCCACGCTTCGGCATTGGCCGTCTGCTGGCGAGGCGGGGAAACCCCCCGTCCCCGTGTGCTCCCCCTGCCCAAGACAGAATGGAGGAAAGGCAGTGACAAAGCAGGGCAAGTCCCCCCGTGTGTGTGTGTGTTTTAAGGGGCTGCTTCAGCCCAAGGGGATTTCGTCTGTCTAGTGCCTGTGACAAGACACTAAGATTTCTTTCTTTTTAATGCAACGGATTAGGTCCCAGGAGCTCTCCCGGTCTTTGCATCTGGTTCTGCGGGATGGAAAGCAAGCTTGTATGGTGGTTAGGAAGGGGGCAGGCGGAGCGTCGCGGCCAGCTCCTTGGTCTGAAGAGCTGGAACGGGTGTGAGCTGAGCCCAAAAACAGTGCTCACTTTTTTTAGGGGCAGGATTGCTATGGAGTCCAGGCTGTGTGTTCCCCTAAATCCGACAGGGGAAGCAGTATTTGTCATGCTATCCTTTTAAGAGTTTGAGGGGGTGTGGTTCTTCCTTGCCTGTTTTATCCTCACAACCGTTCGGGCTGAGAGAAGTGCCTGTGGTCACCTGGTGATGTTCGTGGCTGAGTGGGGAATAAAATCTGGGTCCTAATCCGGCACTCTCTACACCACTTTAGCATGTTGCTTCTCATGACAGGAAGAAGAGGTTCCTTAGTGTAGACAAAATGAGTAAGCAGAATAGTTCAGATGTGTTTTGGTGTCTTAAACCGCTTCTTTAAAAAGTAACAGCCATGTATACGAGAAATAAGAACTGAGTAACGGTAAAGGTTCCTTTGCTCGAAAGCCAGTCAAGTCCGACTCTAGGGTCATCTCCGTTTCAAAGCCGAAGAGCCAGCGCTGTCCGAAGACGTTTCCGTGGTCATGTGGCCGGCATGACTAGACGCCGAGGCGCACGGAATGCTGTTACCTTCCCACCGAAGTGGTACCTATTTATCTACTTGCAATTTCTTGCTTTCGAACTGCTAGGTTGGCAGGAGCTGGGGCCAGAGATGGGAGCTCACTCCGTCATGCGGCACACTCGGGACTCGAACTGCTGAACTACCGACCTTCCACAGCCTGCAGTTCAGCGTCTTAACCACCTGAGCCACTGCAGCTCCTTAAGAACTGAGTACATCCTAGTAAAATTGTGAGACCTGTTTATGTGTTGACACAGGGTTGTCGTTGCATCACCAGAAATTGTTGTGGCATGGCAGATTTGGGTACAAATTGAACAGGCATCACAAGAACGTAGGTACTGTAATTGGTCTTATTTAATTAGCATCGGGTATGTAGTGTACTTTTCCATTGGGCAAGTTTAAGTTGAAAGTGTTGAAATGGCACGAAACTCTTATTTGATGGGACTTCTTCAGAAATCGGTATTGGTTGGATTCCAGCTATGGTCATGTAGTGCAGAGGGTAGCTTAATTGTGATCTTTGTACTGAAAAGGATTACTTACTGACAAAGTAGTTCAGGCTCTGTGAACTACTAGATTATAGTTGCCTAAATTGCAAATGGATAGATAGTAGCCACCTGGCATTGGTTTGGTGGGGGGAAAGAGGTGCTGAACCTGTATCGCAAGAAGGAACTCATTGCAATGAGGGATTTTTCCCTTCAACGGTGTTTCTACTAAAAATGGTAGTACGGCATTTTAAAATACTACTGTTTCTGTTTAACCCAGATGGTTACCTCCTTAGTTCTCTTGTGGACCCTGGAATTAACTTCTGTGTTTTGCTTGCATAATCCAGGGGAGAAGGGAGAGCTGTGGTGACCAAAAAAGGGTTGGTGCGTAATTCAGAGCACTGGGTGAAGCCCAAAGTTAAGTGGCAGACCTCATACTTTTCTGTTATGTGTGAGGCTCCAGGTTGATTCCCTGGTGGATTTAAAAGGGCCCTCAGCAACAGTAGGGCTGGGAGAAAGCTTTGCTTGGTGCCTTAGAGACAAGCCTCGCTGGACCATAGCATTGCTTTGGTGGTTACCTATCTTTCCCATCACTGATCTAGTTTTCAGATGCGATGTTAGTGTTGGAAAGGAGTAAGTGAAATAACTGCTAACCAAAACTTAGTAATCCCCAAACACAAACATTATATTAGATTCTCCCCCTCCTCCAGCTCAGACATCCATCTACTGTGAATTTGTTAAATAATTTCACTGATTTGCACATCTCGTCTTATGCTGTATTGTATTTCTGTTGAAGCTTTGCCATAAATACTGATATGGTTCAAGAAAACAGAGTTGGGAGATACCAGCAATCTTTTGATAGGTTTTGGGGGAGTGGAAATGAATGGTAGTGTTTTTAGATTTCCAACTTCAGCAGAGTTGCTTTCCCTCCTGGGCCACAGATAAAAAGGCAGTCTGGAACTGCTTTCTTCCCTTCCTGAGGCATTTCAGTCAGTGTTCCCTCTAAGTTGAGTTCGTGTGAGCCAGCTCACAGTTTTTTAGCCTCCAGCTCACATGTTTCTGTCTTAGCTCAGGAAGGATGGCTCCAAAGCAAACTAATTTATGCAGTAGCGAAATTGCTTGCTCACAACTTGAATTCCAGTAGCTCACAAATTAGAATTTTTGCTCACTAGCCTCCACAGCTTAGAGGGAACATTGATTTCAGTTCTTACCACACACACTATCTTCAAACATCTATGTATTTGGGGGGAAATCTGCCTCTGCAGCTGGAAATCAAAGGATCTGGTGGTGGTGATGAACCCTGTAATAGAGGTCTTTAAAGAAGACAAGTCAGTCCTGGTATTGAGAACAAATTCTAGGCTGAGCCCTGACCCAGGGTAACCCATGGAGAAAATGAAGAAGTTGACTGTTCAGATGTCACCAAAGTTGTGAGGTGTAGTGGTTAAGTGTGCAGACTCTAATCTGGGAGAACCAGTTTTGATTCCCCACTCTGCCACTTGCACCTGCTGATGTGACCTTGGGTCAGTCACAAGCTCTGGCACAGCTGTTCCTGCAAGAGCAGTTTGTGTCAGAGTTCTCTCAGCCCCAACCACCTCACAGGGTGTCTGTAGGGGGGAGGGGAAGGGAAAGGAGATTGTAAGCCGCTCTGAGACTCCTAGTGAAGGGCGGGGTATAAATCCAATCTCTTCTTCTTCTTCTAAAAGGTACTTAAAGCTGCTAAAATGGGGGCTGGAGAAAAATCAGGGGTCATTTGGTCTGTGGAGGAGGATTGCGCATTAGCAAAGGAAGCTCAGCAGTGTTTAATTTCTCAGAACTATATGATGTTCATGTCACACATCCTTAATGGTAGGGGTGGCTAAGGTGTAGTGAAGGAAGCGGAATCTCTCCATGCCCAGAGGCATGCCAACTTGTTCCAGGAAACTGAAGTCTGGTGCTCGTCTTTGGTTTTGGCAAGCCTGAAAGGAGGACATGATTTTCTGTGCTGAGCATGAGTTGCACACAGGGAATGTATGTGTGTGTGAGCCCCCTTGCTTGCAAAAGATCAAGGGCCGCAGAGCATGCAGCTTGAAGGAAGAGTTGTCAGTAAATTGGTGGCCTGGGAGCATGAAGAACTCTGTGGAGTTGTTGTCATTAAGGGAATGGAGGGAAGGGGACAAGGGAAACCTCAGAAGTGTCGGGTTATTGAACCCAGAGAAGGCGGCCAAGCGATTGAAGGTGGAGAGGACAAATGCAGGCAAAATATACATATTGATTGGAATTTATCAGCCAAGAGTTGGTTGCCAGGCCACTGATACGAGGATAATCCTGATTCCAAAGGATTTGAGGGAGTGACTCCTGTTCTTTAAGGGAAAACCCATGCTGCAAGCAGGAAGGGTTGTGCTAATTAAGTCAATATGTGAGTGGAGCTCAAATGACTGCAGAATTCTGCACTTCATACCAAAGAGTTATCAGTATTGCTCTGTTGGATGAGAGGTGACTTGAGGGTAGAACATCAGGCTCACATGCAGAGGGTCCCAGGCTTCGGTCCCCGTCACCTCCAGTTTTAAAGGAGCAAGGTGATGTGAAATACCTCCATCAGAGAACCAGGGAGAGCTGTTGCCAGTCCGGAGTGAACAAGGCTGACTCGGTAAAAAAGGGGAGCTTCCCGTGTTCGAAGACCAAGCCTGGTTAATAGGTTTCCACACTCTAATAGTGGGAGTCGTTTAGGGATGATCTGCATTAGGGGAGGATGGTAGTCATGAGGTCTCCGTAGAACTCAGCTTAGCTTTTCTGACACCTTGCGTTTTCCCCATGTGTTTCAAGTTATGCACTGCAGCTGTGAGTTCTGGGAATTGATCTTTAAGAAGAATACGTGAGCTTCCCAAACCAAAGTTGAAGTTCATGTTCCTGAGGCTTGATTCCCCAGGGCTTTTGGCAGCACATGTCTAATTTGACTCAGTCTTTGCTTAGAAGGCACACAGACAAAAATCAATAGTTTGAGGTTTTAAAACGTTGAATGCGCTATTTAGGAAACGGATGAGTTTTTATGCAGTTCATCTGTATTGGGACCAGGGGTCATTTCCTGCAGGAGCGCACAGGAGCGGAGCTCCGGCAGTAAGGAGCCCAGGGGGCGGGCACATGCAACAAGTCCCACCCCCAGCTCCCAACAGCCCTCAGTCAGGCCACGAGGAGCAAGAAGCAGCCAGGTAAGTTGCAGAGCCCCTCCTCGGCCCGCCTTCAGGTACAAGCTCTCCCCCCTCTGTGAGGGCAGATCTGTGCCCCCCCCCCCCCCAAAAGCTAGCAATCCAAAACAGTCCAGTGGAGCCTGAGCAGTGGGTGTTGCTTTTTGACACTCTTCTGGTGATGTCAGGGGGTGTGACATATGCAAAATAAGTTATGCTAATGAGCTCCTGCACCTCTTTTTCTATGAAATGACCCCGATTGGGACCGTTCCCTGGTCATGGGTCCAGATGTCAACTGCTGTAGCAGTAAAGAACCTGTGGTAACAGCTGGCAAATCCCTGGTTTGTAGTCACCAAGGAGGTCATAAGCAAGCCACTCCCAGCCTGCTACCTGCAGTACGGTGACAGTGCTGATCCTGCCTCACAGGGTGGTTGTTATGTGCGTGAATCACTTTCAATGTACAAAAAGCAAAAAAGGCTTGGAACTCTACTGCTCACAAAAAGGGGGGCAATTTCCAGCCGGTTCCCCCTCACACACACACACACCGCCAAAACTCAGTTTGCTCCCTGTGGAGTTCCTAAGGCGGTCAGGTTTCCTTTCATCCTGTAGCTCTAAACAGAAAGATTTCTGGAACCCCAGGAAATTCCTAGCCATGGGAATGGAATCATCGCAACAATAATGGGAAGTTTGCTCAGGTTGCTGAACTTAAAATCAGCTTAGTGCAGCGGGGAGGGTGGGGTCCTTTTATTCTGTAGTGTCCGTGATAGCTGAGAGAGAGATGTTTTGCAACACACCTCCACTTTTTCATCCTCAAGCCACAAAAAAATCACCAGGCTGGACACAGGGTGCTGCTTTCAACCTGATTTCTGCTGGAATTATTATTCTGGCCGAGTGTTCCCCAGCAGTCTCGGGGGAAGTGTGGTGAGCAGCGCATGAAAGCAAATAATGTTTTGGCATTGAATGCTGCCTTGACAGTAATATTGCCTGCTTGTGTTATTAAAAAAGTCTCAACCTGTATGGTATGCGGGTTGCCTCGGTTTCCTGAAACAAGAGAGGGAAGCCAAATAACTTCTTAATTCAGGAGTTGATTAGCAATGCAAATTAGCCCCACAAAAAGGGGGAGACTCCTGTTTCAGAAGGAGCTTTTGAGCCGAAGGAGCTCCTCATTCCAGATCGTTCGCTGCCTGACTGACTGGAGAGCAGCTCCTTCCGCAGACTTGGGTAACCTGTGAGGAAGCCCCGTTAAAGAGTGGGGCTCGCTTACAAGTAAACAGGCGCAGAAGTCTGCTGTTAATATAATATAAAGGGACAGATTTTCAGCAAAGGCGAAGGTGGAACATTTTGGAAGCGGCGTTCGCTCCACATTGTATTGCTGCCAGATAGTGCTCGGGGAAAAAATAATGAAGCCAGTCTGTATGCATAATCTAGCTGAGCTTCAGGACTTTAAATGTGAGCATCAAGCCCACAATATAGAACATGACCTACTGTGCTATATTTATACTTCTTGGCCCAGGAGGCAGGCATTTTTCTGACCTTAGAAAACTGGCTTTTGATAGCTCATGGATTCAGTGAAGGCTTTACCATGCCTCTGTTAAATGTAGATTTATTCCTAAACAGTTTCTTTTTGTGGAAAAAAAATCTTCGTAGGACTTTGCTCTTTTAAAAGTGGCATCCCTTTTGTATTATTAACATGTATTTTCTTTAAGTGAACCAAGGCCAGTGCCTCTTGATATTTGTATGTATGTGTGTGCGCGCTTGCATGCCTAGAAGACATGGTGACTTCTGGCAACCCCTAGTGGGGTTTGGACGTTTCAGAGAGGTGGCTTTTTGTTGCCTGCCTCTGCGTCCCGAGCCCTGGTATTCTCTGGAGGTCTCTCTTCCAAGTACTTGCCTGGGTCGGCCCTGCTTACCTTCATTGGGACTCAGCCTATGCTACCTCACAGGATTGGTTGTGAAGATAAAATAGAGGAGAGGAGAATGATGTAAACCACTCCATTAAGGTGAAAGTTGGGATATAAATTAAGTAAATAAATGAATTGGTCCCTTGGCAGCTAATCCAGAAGTAACTATGCTAAATATAACAATGCTAAATATAATAAATGGTAGAATGTATCTCCTGAAATAACTTGGTTGATGATTTTATGAGCAGGTGGGTGGAATGATTAAGATGCGTTAATACTTTAAGATCTGGCTGGTTCTGTAGGTATTATAGAATATTATTATTCCCAGACCATGTCCTATAAACACATGCTAATAAGAAATGACAAATGTAAGTTCTTAGGAGCTCTTGATAGCCCTACAGACGCACTGTCTTCCTGTCGTACAATTAAGAGAGCAATCCTAAGCAGGTCTACTCAAAATTGTGCTATGCTGTTCAATGGGACTTACTCCCAGGAAAGTGGTTTTAGACTTATGCTGAAAATCTCTGCAACTCATTCCCTTTCACCCTGTTCCTTTTGCTTTGGGGGACGGGGCGGAGGTGCCATACCGAGGTGCGTGGCTTTCATGACCTGACTGGTACTAGTTAGTTCAGAAGCTGCTGACAATTATGAATGCTAGCTAATCTGAGCCTTTGTCAAGGTAACCAGTCCTATGTTGGTAGGAAGGCGCTGGAGACCGAATGAGCCAACTTGTTGTATTGGTAAGAGCGTTAGCCTCGGACGGGGTTTCCTGGATTCAAACCCCTGATTTCCATGACACTTATTGGGCCGGTCACTTTCTCTCAGCTGAATCTCCCTCAGGATAAAAAGGTGCTGAATAAATGCAAGCATGGGTTTTGAGTTTGGGACTGACATGCTGCATCGTCAACAGTCGTTTGGAAGAGCATCTGTGCACCAGGTTGCGCACAATTCTGTGGGAACACCACCTTGATGTTCGTTTGAGGGTGAGACGGCAGGTGGTTTTGGCACTGTTTTATTCCCCTGAGTGTATATGTGCCAGTTTTAGCTGCTGTAGACAAAACGTCTTGAAGAAGACAAACCATTTTTTTGTTGCACTTGCTTGTTGTGGCTTTGGATTTGCCGGTTCTTCCTGTGTTGTTGGGTATCACGTGAGCCAAGGAAGCCGCCATGTAGAGTCAGACCATCTAGCCTTGTAGCAGTTCTAAGGTCTCTTTCCCAGAACAGTTGCCCAAGCAAGACTTCTCTTGCGGGACTGAACCTGGGCTGTGCAAAGCCATGCGCTCCCCCATAGCCCTCTCCTCCCCTCCCCTCTACCCAGGCCCCCGAGACTCCTCATTACAATGGCATCCTTCTTGCAGTAGTCATGGCAAGCCTGTGAAGTCTAGAAGCACTCGCACATTCTTCAGTTTTGCTTGCTGTTTTCCTCCATTGCCTCCCACTCCAGCTGTTCAGAGATGGATTATTCTGTCTTGGTGCCGGTTTGGGCTTCAGAAAGTGTGTAGTGCACTGGATTCCTCCTCCTCCATGAGATGCTTTGAAATGTGAGTTTGATGATCCCTCTCCAAATCCACGAGGCCCTGTTCCCTAAATTTAGATCTCCGTATGCCTTAAGGATTCGCCGAGCTTTATATTTATTTAAACATCTGTTCCAGCGAGATGTCTCTGCAGGGAGCAGCTCGGAAAGACCGAAGCCTGGTCATTTGAACTTGAGCACTCCCTTTCCTGCAGCCCAAGGATTCAGGAGGTCCTCAGCGTGGCTTCGGTTTCTTCCTGTCACGTCAAGGAACTAATTTATTTCCTTCTCAGCTGTCAGCCGACGGGTCACTTTGCAGGGCTCGGCCTACTTGAGCTTCCCTTGCCAGCCATGTGTTACTTGGGCTCACCACTGAGGCCTCCCTTCCCCAAATTTTCCTGGGCCCCGGGAAGGGATAAAGTGCCTTCTCCCTGCAGCCTCACCCACTTCTTCCCCGGTACCTGTTGGTGGGGGGGAGTGGAATGGGGCCCTACAGCTTCTTACCTAGCCACGTCACCAGTGAGATGAAGACCTGCCTCTGCCCCCCTCCCCCCATTATATGGTAGCAGTGGTGCTGGTTCTGGTTTCGTTTCCAGCTGTTGCCTCGGACAGTCAGACCAGAATCAACAGGTTGAAATTAAATCAAAGAGTTTTCGACCAAACGCGAGGAAGCGCGTCCCGACTGACTGATTTCTCAGCGGAACGGGCTTCCTCGGGAGGTGGTGGGCTATCCTTTTTTGAAGGTTTTTAAGCAGAGGCCAGATGGCCACGTGACAGCAATGCCAATTCTGTGACTTACTGTGAATTTAGGCAGATCTCGAGAGGGAGGGCTGAATGTGATGAGCCAGTGTTTGGATCTCGTAGCCCTTTCTTATATGCCCAGGGTAATTCTGATTGCCACTTTGGGATCAGGAGGGAATTTTCCTCCAGCCGGATTGGCCCAGCAGGGATCCTGGAAGGTTTTTTTTGCCTTCCTCTGGGCTTAGGACAGGGGGTCACTGCGGGGAGTGGGGGGACGTAGCAGAGGGTTGGAGTGGGCGTAGACGGCCATTGGGAATCCCATCTAGCTCTGTGAAATGTAAGCAATTCTGTTTCGTTTCCCAAAGGACAGACTTTGCGTGTGCAGGGCTTACCCAGCAGCACTTGTAATGGGATTCTGTGGCGCCGCTCCGAGGCTTGTAGTCAGGCCACTTCCCTTGACGCCTGCCTGCTTCGGCTTGCTGCAAGACAGGGATTCCTAGAGGTATTGAGCATGTTTTGCTTTGTTCCAGTAGCCGGATCGAGCTGGGTGACGTGACGCCACACAACATTAAGCAGCTGAAGCGGTTAAACCAGGTCATCTTTCCCGTCAGCTACAACGACAAGTTCTACAAGGATGTGCTAGAAGTCGGCGAGCTCGCCAAACTGGGTATGAGATCTTGATCTTGGTTTGGAAGGTGGGAGGGTGGACTAATTGCCTGCCTTTGTTCTTCTTGGCATTTCCGCTCCATCCAAAACAACTTGCAGTTCCTGCAAGCTCCGGTGTTTCTGGAAACCTTAATTACCCCAAATTGGAAGAGTCCTTTCCTCCCAAACGTCGGCTTGGTCCAGACGCAATAGAGAACATGGTGTATTTTGATTATGGTTAGTTAGTGAAACCAGGATTTGTCTCACAAATTACTCAACTCCTGGTTTGGCTTAACTAATGCAGGCTTCATTACTTTGTCTCTGCAGCCTGGAAGAGCTTTGTCAGGGAGCCAGCTAGGGTTAAGCCAGAATGCCTCCGTTAGTACACAAAACTGCACAAAACCCTACTGACAACTAGCTGTGGTCCACAAAGCCACTTCAGATCTTTGCTTAACAGACCCTAGCTCTGTGATGCTCACTCAGTGGCACCTGTGGCTCTTCTAACCATGATCCCTTAAGGCGGCACTCCTGTGTTTCACTGGACAAGATCCTTACCCTGTGGGGACTCTGTTTGGCAGTTGGTTCCCACCTTGAAACAGCTGCTGCCAGGGCAAAGGGTAAGCTGTAGGCCTCTCTAAGGTGCAGGCCGCATACCAGGGATGAAAGCAAATGTTGCTCTTCAGGTTGGCGGTTAGTGCAAACGTGGGTCTCTGCAAGCCACAGAGCAAGTACCACTGCCCTGGCTTACACCAGTTAGTGGAAGAAGAGCTGGTTTTTATACCCTGCTTTTCTCTAGCCTCAGGAGTCTCAAAATGGCTTACAGCCACCTTCCCTTCCCTCTCCCCACAGGTAGGTGGGGCTGAGGTAGGTGGGGCTGAGAGAGCTCTGAGAGAAAGGTGACTGGCCCAAGGTCACCCAGCAGGTTTCATGTGGAGGAGCAGGGAATCAAACCCAGTTCTCCCGATTAGAGTCCACTGCTTTCAGCCGCTACACCACGCTAGATGTCAGTGGAGTGGCCTGCATTCAAACATACTAACCATAGTCGAATTAAGCCACAGTTTTTCACAATGTCGGAACTCAAACCTCTTTGAATTACATCGCAGTCAACATTACTTTTATGCATGCAGGCCACGTGTAATTGCTTAGGGGGCTGTTGCTCACCCCCTCGTTCCCTTGCCATGGTTCCAGATCCTATTGTTAAAGTGCTGTTAGCTCTTACCCATGCCTTCACAACCAGGCAAGGAGATTCCTGTATTGCCCTCTACTTTCAGCTGCACTTGATGGCTGTTTAGAAATACCAACTGATCCAGAAAGCAGCTTCCCATTTCCTAGTAAAGGTGAGTTAGGTCTCTGCTTTGACATGGGTGCCGGCCTCTTGCGTTTGGCAAGCGGAACTGACAGTATACAGTGCTGTGTAAAGGGCTTGTCACAGCTAAAGGAACAGCCGCAGCATACAGGAGTTGAAAACCACAGCTGCCGAAACGTGTCTCTGCACAAATTTGTCTAAATGAAATTTATATGTACGGTCTCTTCTGTAAGACTCTCAGCTATGCAAATGCAACGGAAAGACTCCCTTTGGAGAACACACACAGTTCTTCAAGCATTTGTTGCAAGGGTCTGGGAAATCTGGTTTCAAGGCAGACCAGCTGCTCCAGGAAGGAGGAGCCATCCCTTAGTCCGTAAGCGCTTACTTCTTTGTTAGTTTATTTATTACAAAGGTTTTTCTAGGACTTTATGTTTTAGGACTTGAAGGTCGGCTGAAGAAGTCAGCTGTTCCCAGAAGGCGCTTTCTGCCATCTTATAAAAACTAATGTGGAACTCATAATTGACAACTTCAGAGTAAATTGAAGAAGTTATTTATTTTGGGTGTCCAGATCTATTCAGGAACCCAGGCAGGTTTGGCAGTTGTCCAGCCACCATTCCAAAACGTTGGACCGGGGGGGAAAAGAAGAAGAGTCTGCCTCGAAACAGAAGTTGATCAGAGTGCCCAAGCATCTGTTTGATCTCCCAAGAGAAGGAATTCCTTCGTATGTGATATTTGTGTGAAAGCGCCTCTGTATTTTGTCCGTGTAAAGTATTTCCATTGCATTTGTATGCCTTGTATCTTTGATTTTGGAAGATGCAGATTGCAAACACATGTCCCTGATTCAGCAACTACGTATGATATATCCAGGTGCTATCCCAGTATTAACCCATCGACTGATTTTCAGTATAATAAATCATGGGACGCCAGCATGTTCCCCTAATCTCCTTAGCCCTCCGAAGCGCAGCGGTTCTAATTGCCTCCCGTCTTTCATCAGCTAATCCCTTTGTCCTGCAGCAGTTTGGGATTCCCAGGAACAGGCTTAAGCATAAATTGAACTTTTATTTCCTGATGCGAGTTTCACACCATCCATGAGTAGCAGTATTCACACACAAGGGGATTGTACCTACACAGTTTGGTGTGGGTACTTTTCAGCATTTGTGTGCGACGTGGCTTGTTGCACGTATCACAGAAAGCGAGAGAGAAAGGCGGCCTTCTCAGTGCAGCAAACAGTGAACTGGAAAGCCTTCGTCTGAGGTTTCTGTTATAGGACTTCCCACACCTTCAGTCTGAAACAGTAAAACGGTGTCCGGGGCTGTACTAGCTCAGTGAAAACTGTGCTTGTGTCCACCATGCTTGGGGTTATGGTGGCCATCATTTAATAGTTAACCAGATTGGTGTAGTGGTTAAGTGACTCTGATCTGGGAGAACCGGGTTTGATTCCCCACTCCTCCACTTGCACCTGCTGATGTGACCTTGGGTCAGTCACAAGCTCTGGCACAGCTGTCCTTGAAAAAGAGCAGTTTGTGTCAGAGTTCTCTCAGCCCCACCCACCTCACAGGGTGTCTGCTGTGGGGAGGGGAAGGGAAAGGACTTTGTAAGCCGCTCTGAGACTCCAAGTGAAGGGCGGGGTATAAATCCAATCTCTTCTTCTTCTAATATATGTCTTGTTTGATTTTTTTTTTTTTAATCATGCCGTCCCTTTAAGTTGAGGGCTTGGGTTCTTCAGTCCTCAAGCAGAAACAATAAACAGATTTGGCACAGTCCCGCTTGCACAAGATGGTGTGTAACGCCTAGTGCTTTCCTACCTGCCTGTTATAGAGCCCAGTAATTAGTCGCATGAGATCTTGGGCAAATGGAAATGCAGGTGGGGGATACAGTAAGTTGGACTGAGCAGAAGCAGCTACCGCCGTCTTTTCCTTGCACTGAAGTGGAAATTTTGCACCGGCCCCAACCCCTTGTGTCTGCCCCAATCCCTAAGGCTGTTTGACAGATTAGAGGTCAAAGTGAATGTGCTTTCTTCCCATTTTCACCCTCCTCTTCCCCACCCCCTCTTTTTGCCAGCCTATTTCAATGACATCGCAGTGGGTGCCGTGTGCTGTAGAGTGGATCACTCTCAGAATCAGAAGAGGCTGTACATCATGACGCTTGGATGCCTGGCCCCTTACCGAAGGCTGGGAATAGGTAAGGCTGCCTTGCCGGATGGCCAGTTGACTCTCGGGCAGTGCCGCGGGGGGGGGCTCTTTAAGTTAACCAAAGCAAAAATTTGTTTTTCACCTGCGACAGAACACGTGTTGCAAGATCGGCATGCATGTTCATGCCGTGCAGTCTTGCCAAGCCCAAACATTTGCCGCAGAAGAGTGCACTCGAGTCTCCTTTTGCCACTTCCCTAGCCCTTCAGGTGCCGTGTTGGGAGAAAATGTTAAAATAACCCCTAATAGCCATCAAGCTTCCATATCGTACTGTGACACTCCACACGTGGGCGGGCGGGACGGGGAGAGCCTGATCTGCTTGGGGTGGTAACTTTGTCTCCCTTCCTTTTCAGGAACTAAAATGTTGAATCATGTGTTAAACATCTGTGAAAAAGATGGCACATTTGACAATATCTATCTGTGAGTACAAGTTGTGGCTCTGTCCCTGGATAACATAGGCCACCAGGAAGCCCACAGAGAAGGGTTCCGTTCCGTTTGCGCTCTGTTAGGTGCCGACACTGCGCGACAAAGGGGGAAAATACTGTTGCTAAGGGGTGGGGGCCCTGATCTCTCAGGTGTAAGAAGGCAGGCTTCCGAAGGCCATGGTTTGGTTTGGTTTTCCCTTGGCACGGGGGAGTAGAACTTGGCTGTCCTGGGCAATGCAAATGCTTGACTGAAATACTAAAGACAAATATTTCAGCCCTTTGGCAAGTAATGCCCTTTTGTGTGGTGGTGCTTCCGGATCCTTTTACGGTACCAGTTTGGTGTAGTGGTTAAGAGCAGCAGACTAATCTGGGAGAACCGGGTTTAATTCCCCACTCCTCCACATGCAGCCAGCGGGATGACTTTGGGTCAGTCACAAGTTCTATGGAACCTAGCTGTGGCTCTCTTGTGGGGAGAGGAAGGGAAGGAGATTGTAAACTGCTCTGAGACTCCCAAGTGAAGGGCAGAGCATAAAGCCAATCTCCTCCTCCTCCTTTTAACGTGCGTATTCATTGAACAGTGGCCAGTCGGCTCTGTGTAACCTCTTGATTGGGTGGAAGCACAATTTTTTTTACATACAATAAGTGGCCAAGTGGCTGTCTTACTGGTCTTATGTCAATCCCGTTGAAGATGTTTCAGGTCAAAGCACTACATGCGCCTGCAGTTGCAAATAAACCCCTTAGAATCAGTGAAATCCCAGGAAGTGTTTTCAAGATCAGTGCAATCATTATGGGGAGCAGACAATGGTGCTAGGGACGGAGAAGGATTGAAATGGCTCTTATTTCCTTAATCATCACGATGATCCCTGGACAGTCCGCTGCAAAACTACAGCATTTGGCCATTCATCCAAAACTGCTGGCCAGGAGCTGAGGAACTAGTGCTAATCTGGAATGTTTGGCTTTGAATAACCAAAGTCTTCCTCCAAATCCCTTTTGAAACTCCCTCTGTCTCCAAAGTCCTTCTGCATGCAGCGCAGTGGCAGCTGTTCAAAAAACACATTTCCGCAACCTGGCCGAGCTCCCATAGCTGGCTCCATGGTTCTTGGCATTCTCCCCGCTATTAGTAATGGGTTTTGGAGCTGTCGTGCCCGCTGCTTTGACATGGCCGTTGTGTTAATACACAGAATTCCTTGATCACAGCAGAGGCATAGGGCTAGAAACATCATAAATTGCATCAAAGCTTCACACGTTGAGTTGGATCCGGCAGTAAGTTTCTGCTACCAGAAAGGGCTGGTTTCCCCATCCCCCAGGAACACCCATTTTGGGTTCCAGAAGGAGCAGGGAAGTCATGTGCCCCTGGTCAGAAACCCCTTCTGTCAGCACAAACCCCTTCTGGATCCATCCCAGCGTAGGATGTAAAAGCAGTTAAAATGTCAGAGGGCCTGTGTTGTACATTGCGGTGTGGGGTTTCTCCAGCCTAGGAAGAATGAATGATTAGGTTCTCATTTTGGGGGGGGGGGTGTGCTGGAATGAAAAGTAGCACACGATGTACAACAAATAATCCAAAACGCAGTGTAACCAGAGTTGGGATAAAGCAGGTCCTACGAAAATGCCAATATCTAGTCAGTGGCCAAGTTCCTAAGAGCTTGAGCATGCCAAGCTGGGTGTTCTGGCCCTTCTCCTTCAGCAGTAGGCGCCCTAGCTGCTTTTGAAGGTCCTCTCAGATTCAGGAGGGGCTTGCAACACGGCAATGAGGGACTGCTCTTTGAGAAGTGAGCCCCAAACACTCTTGTGTGTGCAGAACAAATTGTGGTTTGTTTTGGCCCCAGGCCTGTACTCATTGTGTTCCAGCATTTTTGCATGAACCAGTGTGAGCGGTCGGTTGACGGTGAAGTGGAGATCTTGGTTTTCTAGTGAGGATCATCCAGGCAGGGAGGTGACCATACTAGACTGTTCTGCTTTTGTTTTGTTTTTTTGCTGTCAAGTCACAGCTGACTTAAGGCAACCTCCTGGGGTTTTCAAGGCAAGACACATTCAGAGGGGGTTTGCCGTTGCCTGCCTCTGCATCTTAACCCTGGACTTCCTTGGTGGTCTCCCATCCATCTACTGACCAGGGCCAACCCGAGATCGGGCTAGCCTGGGTTATCCAGGTCGGGGCTACTGGCCTGATAGCTGATGGTAACAGAGAGTGGCTTTGACAGACCTAGTATTTTGCCCGTCTGCTGGTGTTTCTTCTGCTCAAAGAGCACAAGATCTGAGTTCAGAAAAAGCTAATGTCTTTCCCCCCCTTTCGCTTCTCTTCCTACCCCAGACATGTCCAGATTAGCAACGAGTCCGCCATTGACTTCTACAGAAAGTTTGGCTTTGAGATCATCGAGACGAAGAAGAATTACTACAAGAGGATAGAACCAGCAGACGCCCACGTGCTGCAGAAAAACCTCAAGGTCCCCTGCCTTGGCCAGAACACAGACGTGCAAAAGGCCGACAACTGAACAAAAAACCCCCCCAGTGAACACTTTTGTGCACTTGCTTGTCACCAAATAAGGAAAGAGAGGCCTGCTCTCCCCTCCCCTCCCCTCCCCCCTAATGTGTGTTGTATCCTCTCCAACAAATTAGTAACTTTCCGAGGATTGTCCAATTGTGTGTTTGGGTTTTACAGCTCTACTATTTTGCATTCTTTTTTGGGGGGTGGGGAAGTGTGCATTTCTGGTTGTGGGGCGGGGAGGGGGCCTTCAGTCGGTCTTCCAGAAGTCGGGGGGGGGTCTTCAGTGCGTGTGACCCTCCCCATTGGCGGGCAAAGTTTAAGCAATACCTTGCATCCCGACTCCTAATAACCACGCGTCCTCTTTTTTTTTTAAAATAAAAATAAAAATCTGGAGGCTGTTGCCCTCTGAAATTCTGAATGTTGCTTAGCAGTCCTCCGGCCCCCTTTGCCTCTCTGCGAATCACTCTCTTAGCTGATCCCCAGTGTTTTTGAGTTGCCGCTTTCTCCATTGTATGCTGAGAGGGGCAGCAAACAGCTAAGGAGTTTCATCTTGCTGAGTGTCTGATCCCTTTTTGGGGGGCAGTGTTCCTCGGACTCTTGTGGGTGAGAATGCCAGGTGGGCAGTACCATCTCCCACTTTTCTCCTGCTCATTATTGGTGTTGCAGTGGCAAAAGGAAGAAAAAAATCTTGGCGATTCGGGCATCGGTGGAGGAGCTGGGCGATTTTAAGACTGGCGACGAAGATCAACGCGTGACCCTTCTCGCAAAAACTTTGCCTTGGAAACGGTTCTGCTGGTTTGGACTCTGCTTGCTTGCTGAGATTATACTCTTAAAATAGAGGATGGTTAAAACTGCTTTTTCTCCCCCTGCTCTACTGAAGGCTCGGCCCACCCCTCTCAACACCTTCAAGGGGACGCTTATATAAGACGCCAGTCAGGAGTGGCTTGTTGGGAGAACGTTGTAAGGATTCAAGGTTTTCCTCCTCATATTGTAATGTAAGACCTGTAGTCTACTTTACTGAGCTCTCGCTTTGTATTGTGTTTATGCTTTTGTTTGCGATTTTCATTTCGAGCTTATAGTGATCAGTACGACCATCGCCAGCTTAATCTTACGACTTTTCTCCTCGTCGGGGGGGAAATGTACTGAAAAAACAAAAACAAATCTGCCCCGTCACCCAAATCAATATTAAACTGTATTACTTTCCTGTTTTTGAATTGGAACTGTATTTTGCGCTTTTCTGCTTTTAAAAAAACTCTCTTTTATCTGGGGGTGCGGGGTGGAGGTACGGGCTATTACAGTGTAACTTTGCTAGCCGGGGCTATAACTTCACTGTGATGCTGAAACGCGTGGGTTGAGAGAGGGATAGCATAGGTCATTTGCAATATTATAAAGTCTCGAATTGCAGGGGAATCCTGAATCGGGGGCCACCGGAACCACCTGCCGTTCCTAATTGTTCTGGAGGACTCTCCAGAAAAGCCTGCCTGGTGCTTGCTTGTTCGGTACGTGCAGACGTTTCTGCATAACTTGTCCATTAGTTCTTCTGATCAGAGCACACATATCAACCCTTGTACTTCAGCGGCCTTGTTCTGTGGAAGGGCCCTGGCGCCCTTCCCTGGTCATACTTTGCAAAGTTTTGTACCGTTGGTCACCGAGGCGTCATCATCCTACTGCAGTGATGTTGAAGCCTGTTTCAAGCTCAAAGTGCCAACATTGCTTCTCTGCTCTGTTGTCGGGTAAAGCCAGGAGTTTTGAGGGGAAGCGCTACATTGGGGAACGTGTGTACAACAGGAGTCACGGCCTCTCCGCTCTGTTTTCTGAGTGGCAAATAACCTTGAATTGGGTTCTCTCTGAATCCTACAAATTGCTTGTGTTTTTACAGGCAGTGTCCCCCCACACACACCCCTTTTTTTTTTAGGTTTTTAGAAAACCCTAGTGCACCTTCCAGAGCTCAAGTTCTCAGTTCTAATTTTTGTTTTGCTTTTAATCACAACCATTTTATGAATGTATATCTCAAAACGATTGGAATTTCCACTGTACAGTCAGCCTTATTACCACTGTCGTATAGAAGGCGGAAGGAGGTAAAACGGAAAATCGAAAGCTCCCTCTTTTTCGATGAGCAGCCCTCCACATGACTGTTCTTTAAGAACGCGCACAGGTTGTTTTTACTCACAAAGTCCTTCGGTTGCATCCCTCCAGCTTGGTATGACTTGGACATGAAGAACTTCCTGGTGGAGCGGCGTTCGCTTCCATTTTAGCGTGCTGTAAGACTGGACAGGGGTTTTTTTTGGGGGGGGGGGAGAAATGCTTTGTCTTTTGAAATGGGTGCATGAATGCCTCCTGTGGGTACTGTCCGAGCTTCTCGGTCTTTTCGAAACCAGCTCCTGCGCAAACTCTGAACTTGTGAGGTTCTCGGCAACAGATCACCAGCACTTCACTTTGTGGGGGGTTTTTTTTGGGGGGGGGGGGGTTTGATGTAACTTGGGTTGACCCAGCTGTGGGTGTGTCAATTACTGGTGGGCTCCGTACAGCAATCTCTGAACTTTCCGTAAAGAAACTTTCAGTATTAAGAGAACCATGATCTTGGGGGATAGGAGCAGCATCTGGAACCGACATCCTTTGACTTTGTGGTGGGGCGGAGTATTTTGTATACACAAAAGTGGCGGGGATGACTTGATCCAGTTGCTGGTTGAATATATGTCCATTAAAGATGACATGCTGTTACAACTGAAATAAATTCTAGTTATGTTTCATTCATCCGAATGGTGCCCTTTGATGTCATCGCGTGAGGTTCTCCCAAGCCCCCTCCTCCCACCCCCCAGTACCCTGCTGCTGTGATCCGAGGTCAGTGACGCCGCTTCATGTCCACACATGGATTTTGAACACGGTTCTGAGTGTGTAGCAGCAGCAGCAGCAGACCCTGCTTCAGAGACTTGATTCCAATGTGTGAATGCCCAGTCTGCTGCAGCAGTGAGAGAATGACTTATGCGTTGTGTGAATAGGTTCCAACCAGTGTTCCCTCTAAGCTGAGTTAGTGTGAGCTTTTTTTGTCTCAGCTCAGGAAGGAGGGCTCCAGAGCAAACTAATTTATGCACTCACAACTTTAATGCCAGTAGCTCACAAGGTAGAATTTTTGCTCACTAGACTTACACAGCTTAGAAGGGAGCATTGGTTCCAACCTTGGAGGGAACCCCACCGCTCCTTACCCCTTGGATAATCGGGAGTGTTCTTCATCTTGGGAGTCGCAATCTTCCTTGATGTTGGCTGAAGAGCAATCTTTGAATCCAGTAGCAGCTTAAAGACCAACAAGATTTCCACTTTATACGCTTTCGAGAGTCAAAGGCCCCCTTGTTGTCGGGGTGTGAGCAGAGAAGCTTTAACTTGGAGCAGCCGGGACATGGAGAAAGGACAGTCCCCCCACCACCACCACCACCATCCCTGCCCTGTGTTTAGGGCTGTGCCAGACCGCTCCCTTGGGGGGTCCTGAGGTCGTTGGTGTTCAGGGCACATCACAAGGTGAAATGCCTTGAGGGTGGGGACCTCTTCACATGGACAGGCCTGTAGCGACACCCGTTCTTTACGACTCTTCTGCGGCTTCTTTTTTTGTACACCAGGAGCATGTTTTGCCCTTAAGTCCTTTGAAGTCCTTTAGAAATACTCTCAATACATGTTCTGTACTTGTTGCTCGGGTTTTAGTTATGGATTCCGGCCTCTCCTTTTTTTGTAATTCGTTCTCCGTGTTGGGCTCAAACTTTTCCAGCTCTGTTCCATGTTTCAGCAGTTGGCCTCATACTCGCCATTGCTGACCTGCTCACCAGGTGCTGTGGCTCAGGTCCGTCTGAAGGTCACTCCTGCTCAGCAGTGAGGATCTCTTTATAGTGAGTGGGGGATTCTTGCGTGGTGTTTATTTTTTTTACGTTCTTTGTAGTCCGCCTTTCTCACAGGGACTCGAGGCGGATTACAGAGTGAGTCCTATAATCAACAAATGGGCCATTCATTTGTAGTCCGCCTAGGATATTAGAAATCTGGAACCACCAGAAAGAACTGGAGCACAGCATCCGTATTCAGCAGTGTGATGCGGTAGCTAAAAAGGCAAATGCAATTTGGGGCTGTATTAACAGAAGTATAGTTTCCAGATCATGTAGTAATGGTATTGCTTTACTCTGCTCTGGTTAGATCTCACCTAGAGTATTGTGTTTAGTTTTGTGCGCAGCAGTTGAAGGATATAGACAAGCTGGAACGCGTCCAGAGGAGGGCAACGATGATGGTGAGGGCGGGTCTGGAGACTGTCCTGTCAGGAAAGGTTGAAGGAGCTGGGTATGTTTAGCTTGGAGAGGAGATGACTGAGAGGTGATATGATCACCATCTTCAAGTACTTGGAGGGCTGTCATCTAGAGGATGGAGTGGAGTTTTCTGTTGCCCCAGAAGGTCAGACCAGAACCAAAGGGTTGAAATCAAGAGTTTTCAGCTAAACATGAGGAAGAACTTCTTGACAGAGCGGTTCCTCGGTGGAACAGGCTTCCTCGGGAGGTGGTGAGCTCTCCATCTTTGGAGGTTTTTAAGAAGAGGCTAGATGGCCATCTGACAGCAATGCTGATTCTGTGAACTTGGGCGCAGATCGTGAGAGGGAGGGCAGGAAAGGTTTCATCCGTGCATAGTTCTTGTGGTCCTTTCTTACACACCTAGGGAAATGTTGATTGCCAGTTTGGTGTCAGGAAGCAATTTTCCTCCAGGCCAAGTTTGGCAATGGTTCCTGGAGGTTTTTTGCCATCTTCTGGGCATGGAACAGGAGTCACTCGGGGTGGAGGGGGAGGCATTTCTGAATGTCCTGCATTGTGCAGGGGGCTGGACTAGATGACCCTGGAGGCCCCTTCCAACTCTATGATTCTATGACACATTAAGTGGTGCAGGAATCACATAATAGGATCTTACTTACAATCAGCTGTATGCAGCAGCATAGACCAGTCTCTAAATCATTTATCCAAGTAAGTTTGAAAGCCATTTTGTACACTGCGTCCCTATTACCTGCCCAGAGAAGCCCTCTTGAATGGTTCAGTTTTGCATAATTCGTGAAAGGTCAGGAGCCTGCAAAGGAAAAAGCATATGTAGGGGCAGTTGTTTCTTTTGCCCATTTGCAGGTTGGCCCCTGCTGAAGCCCCTACTGACTCGAGTGAAGTCATGATGGAGCATAAGGCGAGAATGATCAATGCAGATTAGAGGGGCCAAGGCCATGAGGGGCTTCGCATGTGTAGCCCGTACCATAAACTGAGCTTGGTGGCTAATGGGTAGCCAATGGAGCGTCCGCAGAATGGGAGTAACGTGCATGTTTCCTCTATCCCCTACTAATAGTTGAGGCGTGGCAGAAATGGCATGAGATAAATTGGTATATATCTGCAGGCCCTTGCTGAATGGGACTTCCAGTGTCTTGCTGCAGCCTAGTAAGCCGTGTCCCCCCGAATTTTGTTCCTGGATGCCATCAAGCAGCTGGCGGGAACAGGCAGAAACTGCCACCTCTTCCACAAAAATAAATTGAATTCTGGGGATGAATTTATCTCATGCTGTTTCTGTTGGGTGCAGAGGTGGACTGAGAAGGCAGTCTTGGAAAGGGTCCTGCCTCTCCTTTTTGCTGACAGAAACTGAGGTTTGAAGGCTAGCAATATTGTTGAGATTGCCTAGGAACTGCAATAATGGCCACTCAAAGGGCATCTGTAATGATTTCATGTTTTGGGGTGTGTGTTTCTTTAAATGTTTAGTTTGACTGCAGTACTGTAAGGAGAGTGATAGAGGGAGACAAGTGTGATGTGATTGATGACTGCGAGTGTGGGAGGAGGGGTGCCTATGAGAGGGATTTTGTGTGTGAAATTTGGAGAGAGAGCATAGTCTGCGCGACTATGGGAAATTTTGAGTCTATTCTGTGTGAAAAAGACAAACAGTTTAATCTGTGTGAATATGAGTTTTGAGTCTATTCTGTGTGAAGAAGACAAAGAGTTTAGCCTGTGTGGCTATATAGATGAGAGAGATTAGACTGGGTGTCTACGACTGTCAGAGTGGAGTTTTGGGAGTTTGAGAGACTGTTTGGGACACCAAGCTTTGCCAGTTATATTTACAAGTTCCTTTCAGCGATTATATTTACAAGTTCCTTTCCTTACATAGAGACATTCAGAATTTGCACTGTCAAGTGTAGCCTGAAGTGGTAGAATTTGTGCCCACTCTCTTGTTCTGCTGTGCTTAAGAGTAAAAACTGTGTGTTACATGTTCCCCAGTTCTCTGAGCTGTGAGGGAATCACTGAAGCAGTGACTACCTAGAATCAGAGTTGGAAGGGGACGTTCAGGGTCATCTAGTCCAACCCCCTGCACAAGGCAGGAAATTCACAAATACCTCCCCCTCCACATCCCCAGTGATTGCTGTTCCACACCCAGAAGATGACAAAACACCTCCAGGATCTCCAGCCAAAGTGGCCTGGAGAAAAAATTGCTTCCTGACCCCAAAGTGGCCGTCAGCATTTCCCTGTGCATGTAAGAAAGGGACACAAGAACTAAGCACTGAACCTGTGCAAATTCTTTCTGGAAGAAGAAAGCACTGGAGAGAGTGTGTGCATGAGTTTTCGAATATGAAGGTGGTACAACCTATAGGGTGCGGTACATCTGCTAGCCCATATTGGATTCCCAGAGAGGCCTTGCACTCCAGGTACTTCGGATGGCTCCGTGGTCTTTTTGCTTCTTCCCGTCACCTCCAGCTCAAGCTGCTGTTTCTTCTAGACTCCCATTCATGTGTACTTTGCCCCCTTCCCTCACCTAACAGCAGTCTCTCCTACTAAGCTCTGGTTGGTCCTAGATCCAGTGGCATCATCTGCTTCCATCTGGGCAGCACCTGGCATCCTTAAGGCGTTCAGAAGGCCTGGCTCCAGTATCCTTAGGACAGGGTTTCCCCAACTGTTTTGACCCTGTGGGCACCTTTGGAATTCTCTAATAGGGTGCGGCCACAAAATGGCTGTGAGGCAGAGACACACAGGAAGCCTAAGTGAGGAGGAGGAGGAGAGGAGTACTTTTTAAACATAAAAAGGTAAAGGTTCCCTTCCTCGAAAGCCAGTCGAATCCAACTCTAGGGTTGCGGTGCTCATCTCCGTTTCAAAGCCGAAGAGCCAGAGCTGTCCGAAGACGTTTCCGTGGTCATGTAGCTGGCATGACTAAACACCAAGGTGCACGGAACGCTGTTCCCTTCCCACCGAAGATTGATCTACTTGCAATTTCTTGCTTTCGAACTGCTAGGTTGGCAGGAGCTGGAACTAGAGACGGGAGCTCACTCCATCATGCGGCACCCTGGTCTCGAACTGCTGAACTACTGACCTTCCACAGCCTGCAGTTCAGCGTCTTAACCACTTGAGCCACTGCAGCTCCCTTTTTAAACATACCCTAGTAAAAAAGAGAATAAAATGAACACTGCAGTGGCAGCTGCCACTGAAGCAATGTTATTTTAATCCACACAGTCCCATCAGATTTCCAGTGGCCAATCAGAGCCCCTACTTGGCAAAAGCCTCACGTGGTCCCACCCACTTTCTACAAACAACTGCCAGGCACTGGGAAAGGTGTCAGTGGGTGCCAGGTTGGAGACCCCTGCGTCGGGGCAAGCCCATTAGCTGTCATTGAACCACCAGTAACTGGAAAAAGCAGTGGACTCTAATCTGGAGAACCTGGTTTCATTTGCCACTCCTCCACATGCAGCCAGCTGGGTGACCTTGGCTCAGTCTCAAGTTCTCTCAGAGCCGTTTCTGTCAGAGGTCTCTCAGCCCCACCTACCTCACAGGGTGTCTGCTGTGGGAGGGGAAGGGAAAGGAGATTGTAAGCCGCTCTGAGACTCCGACTAAAGGGCAGGGTATAACTCCGAATCTTTTTCTTGTTCTTCCCAAACTTTGGCATGCTGACCTGCAAATCCACGTTTAAGTGATATGGTAATAATCTACTTTTTAAAAAAAGCATGCTCAAATTAATAGAACTGTAATAGTTCTCCGCTGCAGCAGGCAACCCCATTTATTCTTTGCTTAGAAAAGGCAGGTTACAAAACATAAAATTATACCCCACGTTTTCTCCCCAACGGGGACCCGAAGTGACCTCTACTGTTCTTCTTTCCTCTATTTTAATTCTCACAGCAGTCCTGGAATGGGGGTTACGCTGAATCAAATAAGATAAATTAGGCAGCTGTGCGTTATACAGATTGGGGTGGGGCCGCTTTTTTAAAGTACAAACGGTGGTGCAACATTACGTTTTAGAACATCATGTAGACATAGGGTTGTCAGATCCAGGCTGGGAAACTCCTGGAGATTTGGGGATGGAGGCTGGGGAGGACAGGCGGGCTACAATGACAACAAGTCCACCCTCCAAAACAGCTATTTTCGCCAGGGGAACTGATCTTTGTAGACCTGGCCACCAATGCTCCCTCTAAGCTGTGGAGTCTTGTGAGCAAACATTCTACTTTGTGAGCTACTGGTATTAAAGTTGTGAGCGAGCGATTTGGCTACTGCATCAGTTTGTTTGCTCTGGAGCCCTCCTTCCTGAGCTGAGAGAAAAAGGTGTGAGCCGGAGGCTAAAAAATTGTGAGCTAGCTCACACTAACTCAGCTTAGAGGGAACACTGGTCTGGAGATGAGCTATAATTCTGGGGCATCCCCAGGTCCCCCCTGGAGGCTGGCATCCCTTTCATCATCTATACGCATAAAACTATAAAACACTATCTGGGAAACTCCGTAGGAGGTGGGAAGAATTTCGTACCCAAGTTCAACGCGTGTAGGGGCGAGATCAGTTTCACACGCGCAGCTTAACGCGGGTCTACGTTCCTCTCCCGCAGTAGTCGCGCGAAACAAACATACGTAGCTTACCACCCCCTCCCAAAAAAATCTGCGCATCTATTAGGATCATTTCGGTCCTTTAAACAGCCCTCTTCCCCTCCCCGCCCCCTAACCTCTCATTGGCTGCATAAGCAGTTCCTGTTTTCCCGCAATCTAACCCGTCCTCTCGTCACTCCAAAATCTGCCGGCTTCTCATTGGCTGAGAACACGCCCAATCGCGTTTTGAGCGGGCGGGTCCCGTCTCCTCTCCTCCTCCCCCAGCCTTCTTCGGGAACGGCGATTGGCCGAGGCGTGCGGCGCAGCGGCCGCCCGTTGGCTGCCGCGGAGGGGAGGGGGCGGGGCCGCGCGTGCCTGCGTGCCTCGGGATAGGACGGGAGCGCGAGGGAAGGGGCGGAGGGAGCGGAGAGGCCTCCCCGGAGGAGGATGGTCCCCGCCGTGGGGCTGCAGCTGCTGAGCCCGCCTTGTCCCCCGTCGGTGAGTCCCGCTGGTCAAGGCCGGGGCGGGGAGGGACAGGGCGGTTGCGCAACAGGCCTCCCCCCGGCCCTTGGAAGCCGCCCCCCCCCCCGGCCAGGGGGTGGTGCGGGTCGATCCGCGAGATCGGGCTCGGGAGGAACTCGCTCGGGGGTCCCGTCGTCTGTTGGGTTCCCAGGAGAAACGCAGCCTCTCGGCAGCTGGAGGCAATGGCGGAGGGGAGCTTCCATGTGCAGGGGCAGTGCACCTGTGAATGCGGCCGCTGCCCCGAGCCGCCTTGGGTGGAGGGACGTTGTGCCCCTGAACTTGGCAGCGAAAGGGAGCCTGGTACCCGTGCAGAGGCGGCCGCTCCTCTGAGCCGGCCGTCACGCACACCAGATAATCCACTTTCAGTGCCCTTTCGGATTGGGTTTTGCCAGTTCACGCAGTAAAAGCCGGTTGGAAAGTGCACTGAGGGTGGACGGGAAGTGAATGGTTTAGGGGGTGCGTGATCGCAGCCTGGATGTGGTTCTTAAGCAGAGCCTCCATGGATAGTGGCAGCATACCTCTGAACGTATTGGGTGCCCGGAGCCTTCTTGTCCAAAGGCGGGTGTCCCTCTGATCTTGACAGCTGAATGGAGCCTCCGTGCACAGAGATGGTTGCTCCACTGAATGTGATTCTTAATCACAGTCTCCATGGAAAGGGATAGTGTGTCTCTGAATGTGATAGCTAAATGGAACCTCTGAGTGTAAATGCAGTTGAGCCTCTGATTGTGGCATCGAAGTGGAACCTCCATGCGTAGTGTCAGTTGTTCCTCTGAGTGTCACGCAGGGTCAATCGTTCCTCTGAGTGTCAAGCTTAAATGGAGCCTCCACGTATGGATGTGGTGCCTGAATGGAACCTCCCTGTGCAGTGGAACCCCTCAACGCTTTCACACATGCTAAATAATGCCGTTTCAAATTCACTTTAGTGACTATGAGTGGCTTTTGCCATTTCGCACAGTAACATCCAGTTGCAAAGTGCATTGAAAGTGGATCGACAGTGTGTTATTTAGCGTGTGTGAAAGTACCCAATGTGGCGACCAAATGGAGCTTGTGCCTAGGAATGTAAACTTCATTTTAAACAGTATACTGTTTAAAACATTAATTAGAAACAGCCTCAGATTCTTTGGAAGCCATGCAGATACTTTAGTTTTTCTCTTGGCTCTCAGTAACAGCCTCCACTGTTCATCACTGGCCTTCTTAATATTTACATATGTCGGTGCATGTAGTATATGTAAATATTAAAGTAAATGAATCGTTTTCATTTAAAAGTTTAATAATTTATGTCCCTCCCTGCCTCCCCATGTAAAGGTGGTGTGCCTCTCAAGGCAATTGCTATATGAAGACTCCATATGCAGAGGCAGTGTATCTCTGAATGGCAGATGGCAGAAACCTACAGCAAGAGGAGAACTATTGTCTTCTGGCCCAGCTTGTAAGCTTGCTGGAGTTCTCTCATGCACAACTGTTGGGAACCAGTTGCTGGACTTTGGTGCTTCGTTAGCCTGATGGATTGGGTTCCCGTATATACCTTATCCATGCCCTTTGGAGTTTTCTTGTAATTTCTGTACCTAATTTAGCATTCCAAAAGCTTTACCAAGGTGGGTATAAATGAATTCTTCCTCACCTTGCAGAGTTCGTGACACTCACCGCCCCAGCCAATGCCATCCTGGAGGCTGTGGATTTCTTTTTCAAGCGGAGTCTGGTGAGAGCTGTTCTAATAGAGCAGGGTATGAGCTGCCGGTCAGCTGCACTGGAAACATAACACATTCCCAATATATTTCATAATTATCTCGTCCCCACCACCACCACAGAAGCAAACAAGGAGAGGATGCATACTAGGACCCAAGGTGCCCTGGCCAGAACCTTGCTGTGAAGCTGTGTTGGGCCTGAACCCCAATACCTTGATCCATCAGCTAGATGCAGGAGTTCTGGGAGTTGGGTGAGTCTTGTGCATGTATTAACTGCTTCACCGAGTTACCCCTTCCATATTGAAGCAAGTGAGAAAGTGGCACACTGTGCAGCACCTGTCCTGCATTGAGCGGGGGGTTGAGCTAGATGGCCTGTATGGCCCCTTCCAACTCTGTGATTCTTTCGGAGTATTCCATTCCTCTCTCCCTCCGCATAATCTGATATAATCTCAAAAGGGAGTCCATGCTCTTGTGGGCAGGAATGTTAGTATGGTTAAGGCTGTGAGCTGTGAATTCCCCGGATCTGGGTTTTGCCTCTGCCGCAAACCCACTGGATGCCTCAGGGAAGGGATTTGGTTTGCCGCTGGCACTGTAGGGTGGGTGGTAATGAAGAACCCGTCCCTCCGTTCAGGGCCTTCTAAGGTTTATTGAGATATTATACGTGAGGCGCTTTCCACAATGGTGTGAGAGAGGATACCGATACGTGAAGATTTTGTCTTGTGCATCGCTTGTGTGAGTCTGGGGTTCCGTGCCTATCTGTAGAAAGAGTTCCAGAGTTTTATTTCTTTGCTAGTCAGGGAGATTCGCAGCGTAATCTTCAAGACAAACGTATCAGTGGATAACCGGGGAAAGGCAAATACCTTAATAAGTAAGTAATGTATGGGTTTGATTTTGTGCCCCAAATTTATATCGACCTCTTTGTGGTACTATATGCACACGTGCAAGGGTTCATGTACGTTCAGTGCCATTATATTTTGGTTTTGGTTTTGCTGTACTGAGGCTGCAGTCTTGAGTACCCTTAACTAGGGAGTCAGAGCTCCATGGGGTTTCCATAGGGTTGCACAGCAGCAGTCCTGTCTATGTAGGGTTACTCCGTTTCACTGGGTTTAGACTGGAGTAACTCTGCATAGGATTGCGCTGTGATTAGATACGCATCTTAGTTTCCTTAACGTTCGTACTGGCGATCATATCACGGAGGGATACGAGGTACATTCCTAAACTTGCTTGCTTAGAAATAAACCAGTGCTTAGTGTTTCTGGGTGAGCATGAGTCGGTTATGGGACTGGTCATTTTGTTTCATGGCGCGGGACTGTAGGCTTCTACCGTACCAGGAGCACGAAGCTTTGATTTCTTTCTGGCGCTTTGATCAAGATGGATCTAGGGTTGCAAGCTAGCCCGAAGGAGAATTTCTGTCCCTTGAACGGAGGCGTTAATGGTGCACTATCTGCCGGGTGGTGTTGTTGTCCACCATACCATGACGTGATTCAGCCGCCCGTTTCCAGATATTAAGCCTCTGTTCATTTTTCGCTAGCCCATTTGGCAATACGAGAAGGCTCTCCAAGGTGGTTTGCATGAAAGGAATGAAACACACCGTGGACTGCTTCTGTGCCATCTGACACCCCAGAGACCCTTTTCTTCTGGCTGGCCAAGGCTGCTTCCACACAGGCACGATTCCCCGTTGTGCGCTCGCTCCTGCTGCTGCTGCTGCAGAAAATCCAGTGGCATTGGCTGCAGCGGTGGAGAGTCCACACTGGGGGTATGCGCCATGTTTTCCACAGCGTCCCCTTGTGCCCGCCATCCCCCCGCCCATTGCTGCCGGACGGCAGTTTGCTATCTTGTAAAAACAAAATCGGTAGTAGCGGTACAGTTATAGTGCTAGTGATATAGCAACTACTGGCAGAAACCCTGCTAGCATGGTGATGGGAGATGGCCACCATAAGGCCATAGCGGCGGTGGAAACACCATAAGGCCATAGCGGTGATCGGTAGTAGCGGTACAGTTATAGTGCTAGTGATATAGCAACTACTGGCAGAAACCATGCTAGCATGGGTGATGAGAAATGGCCACCATAAGGCCATAGCGGTGGTGGAAACTGCTGTCAAGTCACAGTGACTTATGGAAACCCTGTAGGGTTTTGAAGGCAAGAGACGTTCAGAGGTGCTTTGGCCATTGCCTGTCTCCGCTTCATGACTCTGGTATTCATAAGAACATAAGAGATGCCAATGTTGGATCAGGCCAAAGGCCCATCCAGCCCAACACTCTGTGTCACACAGTGGGCCAGAAATACCAGTGCCACCAGGAGGTCCACCAGTGGGGCCAGGACACTGGAAGCCCTCCCACTGTTGACCCCCCCCCAAGCACCAAGAAGACAGAGCATCACTTGCCCCAGAGCCCCTATCTATACCTTGTGGCTAATAGCCACTGATGGACCTCTGCTCCATATGCCTATCTAATTCCCTTTTGAAGCCGTCCATGCTTGTAGCCACCACCGTCTCCTGTGGCAGTGAATTCCATGTGTGAATCACTCTTTGGGTGAAGAAGTACTTCCTTTTATCCGTTCTAACCCGACTGCTCTGCAGTTTCATGGAGTGCCCACGAGTTCTTGTATTGTGAGAAAGGGAGAAAAGTACCTCTTTCTCTACCTGCTCTTTCCCATGCATAATCTTATAAACCTCAATCATGTCACCCCTCAGTCGTCATTTCTCCAAGCTAAAGAGCCCTAAGCGCCTTAACCGTTCCTCATAGGGAAAGTGTTCCAACCCTTTTATCATTCGAGTTGCCCTTTTCTGCACTTTTTCCAAAGCTATAATATCCTTTTTAAGGTGTGGTGACCAGAATTGCACACAGTATTCCAGATGAGGTCGCACCATTGATTTATATAGCGGCATTATGATATTGGCTGATCTGTTTACAATACCCTTCCTAATAATCCCCAGCATAGCATTGGCCTTCTTTATTGCAGTCACACACTGTCTCGACATTTTCAGTGAGTTATCCACTACAACTCCAAGATCTCTCTCTTGATCAGTCTCTGCCAGTTCAGACCCCATCAACGTGTATTTATAGTTAGGATTTTTGGCTCCAATGTGCATCACCTTGCACTTGGCCACATTGAACCCCATTTGCCATGTTGACGCCCACTCGCCCAACTTTGACAGATCCCTTTGGAGTGCCTCACAATCCTCACTGGTTTTCACCACCCTGAACAACTTTGTATCATCCGCAAATTTAGCCACTTCACTGCTTACTCCCATCTCCAAATCATTAATGAACAAGTTAAAAAGCAGTGGACCAAGTACTGATCCCTGCGGTACCCCACTGCTTACCACCCTCCACTGAGAAAATTGCCCACCTACACTCACTCTCTGTTTTCTATGAACTAGCCAGTTTTTGATCCATAAAAGGACTTGTCCTTCTATCCCATGATTTTTGAGCTTACTTAGGAGCCTTTGATGAGGAACTTTATCAAAAGCTTTCTGGAAGTCAAGGTAAATAATATCTATTGGATCCCCCTTGTCCACATGTTTGTTCACCCCCTCAAAGAACATTAACAGGTTAGTGAGACAAGATCTTCCCTTACAGAACCCATGTTGAGTCTGCCTCAATAGGTTTTGTTCATCTATGTGCCTACTAATTCTTTCCTTAATAATGGTTTCCACCAATTTACCCGGTATCGACGTCAGACTGACAGGCCTGTAATTTCCCGGATCTCCTCTGGAACCCTTTTTAAAGATGGGAGTGACATTAGCTACCTTCCAATCCTCAGGAATGGAGGCAGATTTTAAGGAAAGATTACATATCTTTGTCAGGAGATCTACAAGTTCACATTTGAGTTCTTTCAGAACTCTCGGATGTATGCCATCTGGGCCTGGTGATTTTTCAGTTTTTAAGTTGTCTATCAGTTTTAGGACCTCCTCTCTCATCACCTCAATCTGACTCAGGTCTTCCAACAACTTTTCCTCAATGATCTAGTAAATCTGGCCTCCATTATGGCTGAGGGTAAGGCGTTGTATCTTAATAGGGTAAAAATTCTTCTATGATTGCTGATATCTAAATATTTGATGTAAGATCTCACGACTATCTTGTTCAGTGTACTTACATCAAATACAGGGCTCGGCCTTTTGGCTAAGATCAGCGTAAACATTATCTAAATTAAAGTCATCTGTTCTTATCAGTTTTATTAATTGATTTAAATGTTTAGACCGCACCTTTCCTCTTGGCTCAACACGGAACGTGATTGTGGAATGATGACATGTAGATGGTCTAAAAAACACACAAAAACACCTTCTGTTTGGGCCCAGAATGGGACCAAGAGCCCCATCTTGAAAGCAAGCCCCAGTCGAAGTAAGGAAGGTACCCGTGGAAAGGAAGGAGGCATAGGACCAAATGAAACAAGAGTTGTGAGGGGGGGAAGTTCTCAGTTAGTTCCATCGTCTTGTGACCATGTTTATCCGCTCTAGTCATGCCGGCCACATGACCATGGAAATGTCTTCGGACAGCGCTGGCTCTTCGGCTTTGAAACGGAGATGAGCACCGCAACCCTCGAGTCAGATTCGACTGGCTTTCGAGCAAGGGAAACCTTTACCTTTAAGGGATGATTGTCAAACCATTAAAAAAAGGAAAGCCCTGACACAGAGGGATTTTGAGGAAGCGAGTGGTATCATTAACCCAAAGAGCCATCCCAGGCATGAGGCCTGTACCTGAGGTAGACACTTAGCTTACCCTTTCCTCTGGTAGCAGCTATTTAAAGGTGGGAACCACCTGCCAGCTGCAAGCTCCACCAGGCAAGGGCCTTGTCCTCTTTTCTGAAATGTGGGGATGGTGCCTCACTGGAGTATGGTGCTCTGAAGAGCCTCAAGTGGCGCACCAAATAGCCGCATGATGCTTCTGAGCTGCTAAGTGAGTATCACTCACTTAGCAGTGAGTATCACAGATACAGTGCAAAAAAAATATTGTTGCTGCTGTAACAGTTGGAATTAGAATCTCAGACATTTATCTTGGGTGGTTTTTATTATGTTTCAGTATGGAGAGCTCATTCCACCAGACGGGGGCCAGGGCCGAAAAAGACCAGGAACTGGCCGAGGCTAGTCAGGCGTCCCATCTTTTCTATTTTTAAAAGGAGTGAAGTGGGAAAGCAAAATTCAGGGCTGTGCCAAATTCCTTTTCCATTTGCATGTTCTGGGCTCGACAGCTGTTTGTGATTTATTTCTGTATGTATAGTCTCTCCTGCCAACCTAGCAGTTCGAAAGCAAGACATTGCAAGTAGATAAATAGGTACCACTTCGGTGGGAAGGTAACAGTGTTCCGTGCGCCTTGGTGTTTAGTCATGCCGGCCACATGACCACGGAAATGTCTTTGGACAGCGCTGGCTCTTCGGCTTGGAAACGGAGATGAGCACCCGCAACCCTAGAGTCGGATTCGACTGGCTTTCGAGCAAGGGAACCTTTACCTTTACCTTATGTATAGTCTGCCTTTCTCACTGAGTCAGAGTAGATTCCACAATGCAGCAATGCGGTAGGAACAATATTTGATGTCTGGCCCCACCGATGGACCTCCTGATGGGGCCTGGTATTTTTGGCCACCGTGTGACAGAGTGTTGGACTGGATGGGCCATTGGCCGGATCCAGCCTTGGCTTCTCTTGTGTTCTTAGGTTCAGAGCCGTTCAGGCTGCGGGAAACCACAGGCCGAGAACTCAGTAGCGCATTACACATGGACCTGGCACAAGCGCTTGCTGCAGCCTTTTCTCCCACAAGCGGGGATTTTTGTGCCAGATCCAAATGCGGCGAGAAACCAGTGGGAGCTGAGCTACAAAGAAGCTGCGTGGGGCCAGGGTTTTCAGACACACACTGGTGCTTTTATAATTGGTGGTATATTTCTTTTCTCTCCTTAGATCCTCCTCTCTCAAACCATGCCAGAGATGACCGAGAAAACTCCCTTGAAGAAGCCACACCGGTAAATACGCGTGTCCGGATCGCCAAAGGAAAATGCTTTGGAGAATCCCTTTTATTCATTCCTCCATTGTTGTAGTTCCCCCCCCCATCCAGCACATTTAGCTTTACTTGTTTGTTTTGCCGTCAAGTCACAGCCGACTTAAAGCGACCCCGTGGGGTTTTCAAGGCAAGAGGCGTTCAGTGGTGGTTTGCCATTGCTTGGCTCTGCGTAGCGACCCTGGGCTTCCTTGGTGGTCTCCCATCCAAGTACCAACCAGAGCCGACCCTGCTTAGCTTCCTGGCTGTGACAAGATCAGGCCAGCCGGGGCCATCCAGGGCACTCACTTGTTTAGCGCGGGTTCAAAGACGAGCAGCTGCCGGAATCCGAATAAGTGCCGGTCAAAGCAGCTCCTCTGGGCTGTCATTTCAGACTGTCGAGGGAGCTGTTATTTTTGTCCAGCGAGTTGGTTTTCGTAGGGGGATCTGTATTGGCGGTTCTGTTTTGCACCAAAGAGGTAGCTCTACAGACCCACTCAGAGGCATCTTCCCTGCAGTGGCTGTCCATACTCGGCATCGGAGGCGGCTGCTTTAATGCATCTTTTTGCTTCAGGAAGTTCCTCCTTTGCTGTCCAGATTAGGGGTCATTTTAGAGTCACTGTGCAACGGGCACCTATTGAACAGTGCTTGTGACGTCACGGATTGTCCAGAGCAGTTTCACCCCTCCTGATAAAGCAGGAGGAAGAGACCTGGGTTTTCTTCCTGCAGCAGGGGCCTTCAGGACCTTTGTATGCCCTGCCTTTCTCCTGACCCTTCCTCTTGGCATAGGGCACCCAAGACGGGTATCAACAATAAATCAGATTCAGGATTATTAATATTGAATGTCGTGGGGTGGAGCACACTAGTCACAGCCTGCATCCTCACCCGGAGGGTCTGTGGCTGGATGAGTTGGTGTCCTGCCACATGGCACCTTCTTCCATACCCTGACCTGGATAGCCCAGTCTAGCCCAATCTCGTCAGATCTCGGAAGCTAAGCAAGGTTGGTCCTGGCTAGTACCTGGATGGGCGACCTCCAAGGGATACCAGGGTCGTGGTGCAGAGGCAGACAATGCATCTGTTGCCTGAAAAGCAAGTCTAGCTCGCCACCTAGTGGTGCGTAATGCTAAAATAGCTAGAACTTCTGGTTGCCAGACAATCTTAGGATCTCCTGGCTATACTACACCCACTGCCATACGATCATGATAATAATAACCTTCTTCTGTTTCTTAATGCCTGCCTCGTGCTGCCTGCTTTCTCCCAAAACAGACTGGGGAGGGGAGGGGAGTATACAGCACTCTGCCTCCTCATTCTCATGGTCTGCCCCTTATGGCAGAGAACAGGTTCATGACCGTACTCCTCGGCTGCCCTGACACACATCTCTCACAGGCTCCGTTGGCATCCCTGACCACCCAAGAGAACTGCTGGGCCCGCAAGGGGTGAAGGGACAAAGCTTCCAGCTCGGCATGTCTCTCTGGTATCTTCCGGCTCATGGCCCCTGGCCCTTCCTGGACCGTGCCCCAGCAGTTGGCGGAGTGCACTTGGGTCACTTCCTGGCCCAAAATGGCCGCCGCCGCCACTGTCTGGGCTCTCTTTGGAGTGGCCTTGCTGGGAGCCCCTGCTGCCCCTGCTCTGGAGGGGGCCACCCACCTCCTGTGGGGTTAGTCACTGTCTTCAGACGTTAAATTGATTAAAACAGCTGGTAACATAAAACGGTAACAAAAACAGTTAAACCAGAGCTCATTCCAGCTGTCCCATAAACTCTTTTCAAGAGTTCTGTCTTTTAAACCCTCACCAGAAGGCCCGAAGGTTAGGTGCGGTTGCCTCATCTTTCTGGGAATCTGTGCCATAACAGTGGGGTGAGCTGTCGTTGAACACGTCCTCAAGAGCAAGGGGACTGTGATAAGACCATGTTGTGAGGAATGTAGTCCTAACCAACGCTCCCTCTAAGCTGTGGCGTCTTGTGAGGCAAAATTCTACTTTGTGAGCTCCTGGCATTAAAGTTGTGAGTGAGCGATTTGGCTCCTGCATAAATTAGTTTGCTCTGGAGCCAGCCCTCCTTCCTGAGCGGAGACAAAAATGTGTGAGCCGGAAGCTAAAAAAATGTGAGCTAGTTCACACTAACTCAGCTTAGAGGGAACACTGGCTAACGTGACCAACAACACAAACCTCTCTCCTGTTATGGGATAATTTCAGGGTGTTAACCATAAAAATGAATACCCATTGGTCACTTGCTTAAAATATCAACACTAAAACATGGAAGGTATCCAAAATTACATCTGCTCAATCCGTGAGCTGGCTGTTAGGACATTCCTGACTCTTGGCAGGAAAACAAACATTGGTTCATTCCTAGTTTTTTTGAAGCATTGTTCTAGGGAAGACAACTGATAGAAATAACAGTGGAGATTAAAGAATGATTCAATGGCATTGTAGTTCCTTACCGAAAAATATTAGACTTTTTGCCTTTATAAAAGTAAGTAGTTCTGGCTTTAAAAATCTTTTTGTCCAGTATCAGAATCTTCCATAGAAGAAAGT